CTCCACCTTGATTTTCACTCATTAATAAATCAGTGGCATCCTGTCTAGACATTGATCCAAAGTACCAGCTGGATGTTGGAGACACAAAAACATAAATATTTCACCACAATATTTTGCAAATGTAATGCATTTGCAAAATCCATGCAATTATGTCAGCTATATTGAAGTTACCTGGAGCGATCATTCTGATCAAAAGTTAAGGCCATTATTGGATTCTATTTGAATTTCGATATAAATAAATAGTCACATTACGCCAACACAAGTATCCCTTCACCATTAAAACATTATTTAATAAAACTACTAAACAGCTACGAGCGATTCATAATTAAAACTTAAGTTTATTATATACTATTTGAACATCGATTCAATAAAAAATGCATAGTGCAGAGGAAAATTCATCATAAATTGTTTAATTAACGCATAAAATTAAATAATTTCACATGAAAATTGTTGAGAAAAGTCACAAAACCATCAGCCTAGAATAAGCTCTGCCTAATTAAAACAATATTCTGCAAGAGTGGAAACTTTGAAACAAACATCATGCAGGTGAATGTGACGCCATCTCTAACTAACTATAACAAATAACAATAAGCAAATATGGCGCTCGATTTATGACGACATTATTTTTAGAACACAAAACGATAATAGAAACAGAAAGAGAATGTTTATAAATTAGTAAAAGATTGTTTGTAAAATAGCGATGAAGTTATAAATATGTATCAAAATGTTATTGTCAATTGTATTGTTCTAGTTTACATAGCAAGAACTTCAAGCACTTAAGTCAGCGGTTTCCAACCTGTGGGGAGCGTGCAATTGTTTTCAGAATATCATTTTCGAAAATAACCCAAAAATTTTGAAATGATATTCAAAAATGAACAAAAATTTTTTTAATTTTTTTATGCATATTTTTACATAATATTGCATATTAATTTGTATTTGTGATCTGATAATAATATCAGTGAAGTATTTATAAAATTAACCTGTTGAAAAAATTAAATTATTTAACACATTTTTTTATTAGAGCAGGGGGGGCGTGGTGCCAAAAAGGTTGGAAACCACTGACTTAAGTAGTTGTATGACGCATACATTCAAATATGTTTATAATAAATTATATTTTTGTATAATATATTAAAAACTGAGTTACCGTTTTTGGCACTTTTTGCCCCGTATCTTCGGAACGGCTGACCTGCCTTTGCCAAAAACTTGTCTTCTTATCAATACGAACCGAATGTTTTTTGAATTATTCAAATCGGTTATTGATCGGTGTTCCCGAAATCGTCGACGAAAATTTGTATTCGCACACACACACACATACGTACATCCATTTTTTCTAAGGTGCCAAAATGTTCAGAAACCTTTGAAACGTGAAAATTTCCTACAGAAAGTTAAAAATGTAATTATCCACTTTATTAATAAAAAAAATGGTTTAAAATTATCGAACATTTCAAATAATTATTTGACATTTACTGCAAATATGTTTTTAAAAGTTATGATTTATTAAATTATTACTAAATGATTATCTATTCGGAATATGTTGATTAAACCAATCTCTATTATTGTTTAGTATTTTTTATCAGTCATTGAATATATAAATATTTACGAAAACTGAAATGCAATAATAATATTACACGGTAATCGCCACGATATCAGAAAAATTTTTGATGTGGGCCATGGTAACTTTTAGTTAAAAAATGTATCAAAGAAAAAATGATCATTCAAATCGGATGCTCCATTCTCTCAAAAACTGAATTGCCATTTTTTGCACTTTTAGTCGTATCTCCGAAACGGCTGCACCTAATATAAAATGCCTTTGCCAAAAACTAATCAACACGTCTCCCCATTAATAGGAATCGAATGTTTTTGATACATTCATCTCGGTTGATCCGTGCTCCCGAAATCGTCGACGAAATCTGTATCAGCACATACATCCATTTTCTGTATGCCAAAATGTTCAGAGTATAAAACATGAAACGTAAAAATATAAAAAAAAACATTTTCGATTTTACTTTTGTTATTGCATTTAAAAACGATTACATATTAGAATCTATTTTTCCGCGCCAATAAAGAGCTTTTATTGTATACAAAACACATTTATATCTACCACACAAATATTTTTAGAAACACACACCAGATCATGAATTCCAGTCAGTAAAAAGCTACAATGTTTATATTATGTGGAACTATTTTTAGAACATGCTAAACATTTAAAAACACTTATCATAAACAAAGTTTGCAAAATTGATATTCATGAGACGAAAATTTTCATGCACACACACACAAACATATTGATTTTGATTTTTTTTTTTCAATATTTAGATTTTGTTAATTTCTTAATTTATTTTTATATTATTTTATATTTTTTGTATTTTATTTTGATTTTTTTAAATTTATTTTTTTTTATCTAGATATGTAAACCCCATGCGTGATTTTGCATTTACAATTCGTTTATCATGTGGCTTACTATATAATTCTCTTATTTAACTTTTAGTTTATTATTTTATTTTATTGGTTCGTTTTTTATTTTGACTATTTGGCTGCAAATGAACATTTCAAGATTATGGTTCAACGTAGCACAATTTTAGTTCATATATACTTATGTAATATAAAGGTGTAAACAAATTGGTCATAAAAACATTAATAATTAAATGGAATGGACGGATTTTATTTCATAAAATTTACATATTCTTAAACGTAACTTATAATATATTAAAGTGCTCAAATTTACAATTTATTCTTAAAAATAACTTATAATACATGAAAGTGCTGAATGTGGCTTTAAAAAATAGTATTATTTAAATTATAACTATCTTTGTAATATTTGAGATAGTGTAAATATTTTTTAAGGCACTTTAAAATTCAATGAACACATTACTATTCTGGTTATAGTTAAAATATTTTGTCATATATTAAATTCCATTATTATTTAACAAGGAAGTCTTAGATAAGGGCTAGAGTATTTATATTAATTCAAGATCTATATAACCAAAATGGACGGATAAATAGTGAGATTGCTGTGGCCTTTTTATATTTAGCCTTAGGGTAAAGATCACAATTTCAAAATAAAATAATGATTACTATTAATATACCCTTTTCAAATACTTTTGAGTATTATTTGTTATTTTCATTTTCCTAACTAATACTCAATATTTGCACATTATCTATCAAACATTGTAATGTCAAATAATTTTTTATAATTTGCACAATGTTAGAAAGATTGCTTCACATTTCAAAAGAGCAAACTCAAATCGAATCCAATCTCCAGTTAGAATTAAGTCTAGACAAAAAGACCTGATTTATTTCCAGCAAAACAAGATGTAGATTGTGAACTAAAAAATTAACCACTGTTGAAAATGTAGAGTCTATTGAATAATTTAATAATAATATTGAAGAAATTACTACAAAAAGCTATTTTAAAAATGTGAAACGGAAATAGACAAGACTAGAAATTTAAGATACAATAGACAATATTTACAGAGTGATGTATGAATAATAAATAGAGCTCATAATCCACCAAAAGAGAGCAACAGTGGTCAACAATAAAATTCAAAATGATAGGTCTAATAGTATCAACTATGTTTTCAGATTCAGAAAGTGAATGAATCAATGAGACAAGTCTCAATAACAAAAAAAAAAAGATTTGAATTACGAACAAACTGTTTTGATCAAATGGATATTTGTAAAATATTATCATGTTCCTCTAGACGGTTTCAGAAATTGACTTTTTTGCATAAGAATTTGCTAATTTTGAAAATGTTGAAGCTGATGGATCAAATTGATCTTGTCAATTAATGCGCCACATAATTCAAAACTATTAGAAATTGTAAAAACCTAATAACATGAGTTAGTTAATATAACAAAAAATTATGACCTTATAATCTGCTGACTGAAATAAGAATTGCACTAAACAGAATCATTATGTTTGAGTACTCAAAACCATTGGCTGAACTTCTAAATGCTGCAGCATCACCTAAATGGTTATTGAGAAGAGTTAAAACAACAATGTATAATGTGATAAAATTCAATTATTTAGTAAATCCAAATTATATTTACCCATTTGAAAATTCAAAGTAGGACTGGACATTCTGCCATCACCACCATTACTGAAAGCTAAGACTCTCATTTTATAAGCCTTGCCCGGAGTTAATCCTTAAATTCAAAATAAGATATGTTGTTTAATAAAACACACATTAAATATATTTAAAAAAAAAACTTTTTTTTTTACCTTCCACATATGATTCCAGTTTATCACCAATATAAATAACAGTATCATTTGCTGTGGACATATCTTGATCAGTTTCCCATACTCGAATCTACAATAGTACAAATAATATAACAGTTGTGAAATGATTACCTTTAATATAAAGATTTACCTTATATCCAATAAGAGGCTCTTCCTCCTGACTGGGAGCAACATAACGCCAAACAACCCGAACTGTTGATGGATTGACTCCATAAACATGTACACTTGAAGGTGGATTCTGAGGAGCTTTTCTGAATGTGCGTTCTAAAAATTTGATTTATGTAAATTATAACATTTCATGTTCAATAGCATAATGTGATATTAAAAATTACCCAAATATCTTTCACTCTCAGGACCTTCCCCGGCAGAATTGTAGGCTATCACCTTCACAAAATAATATGTATCTGGAGATAGACCAACGATTAAAGCATGATTTAGTGTAGATCTGCTCAAATAATAAACACTGTCTTCTTCTCTGTTGTCTTTTTTCCAATATTTAAGCTGTAAAAAAGAAATGTATTAATTGTAAGTTATAATGTTATAAAATGTACCCTTCTTTTGAGATACTTACACGATGGCCAATCAATTTGCCTCTTATTGTCTCTCTGGACAAATTAATAGGATTCCAGGTAACATTCAAAGCAGTGGAATTGTAACTTCTGGCAACAACCAGTTGAGGAGCGACTTGAGGCATATCTTCTGCAGAATAAATTGTATGAACGTCACTCTCAGGCCCAAATCCTACGTTGTTGATTGCCTGAACTTTGACATCATATTTTGTATAATAATACATAGATGGAACATTAACTACCGCTGAATTAATATTGCCAGCCTTTTTCAGTACTTCTGTTTGAAATTCTGATTCACCTTCATGTCTTTTCCAAAATACTTTATAATGAATACCTTTACCATTCTGCTCTTGAGGTTTCAAAGCCTGTGGAAAAAATATTGAGCAATAAAATAGAAATCTTCTTTACATTACATATAATACATACATCCCACGTGATAGTTAAATCTCCAATTTTTCCACCGCCTCCACCAATATTTCTTGGTGCAATATAAGGTTTGTCACTATCTGTGCTATACAAAGGACTAGGTTTACTGTCAGTTCCTGGACCAAGACTATTGATGGCAACAACTTTAAACTCGTACACAGACCAAGGTGTCAAGCCATTTACTGATGCTTCTTTCCTACCATTATACCGACCAATCTCATTTCCTTTGATATCTGATTATAAGTAACATAAAAAATGATTAAAAACATGCCACTAAATGCAATGAAAATGTTTAAAAATTGTAGCTCTTACATTCAGCTATCAATTGCCATGTTTCATTCCAATTAGTTCTTCCATACACATTGTAATACTGTATTGGAGGACCATTACTGTTTCCTTCTGTCCACTGAAGTAAAGCAGATGACTTTAATATATTCACTACTTTAATTCCACCAGGAGGTCCTGGAGGGCCATCAATATATAGCACAGTTTTAGATGATATTTGCCCAACTGCAGATTTGGCTATGCATTCATATTGTCCACTATCAGGAAGTGTTAAATTGATCAGGGTCAAATTGCCACCATCAATGATCTGATATTAATAAAAGTAATATTATTATTACAGAATTTTAAAAGTCAGTTGAATTTAATTTCAAATATATTTACTATGCGCTCGTTGTACATAAAATCTTGCATCGGTATTCCGTTGTGTGTCCAAATAAAAGCGATGTCGAGCAAATCATCATAGTAAACCTCACACAATAAACTTATGTTCATGTTCACTTGAGTTCTTAACTGTTGAGGCAATCTCAGAGTAAATTGAGGTTCACCTAAAATTAAAACAAAGCATATATATACATGGATATTACATATATATACATAGAAAAATTAACAGAAGTACTTACGCAATACAATGAGTCTTCCTCTGCTTTCAGCAGAACCATAAGGATTTTGTGCTACACAAGTGTATAATCCTTCATCATCCCTATGGGTTGGACTAATTACTAAGTTTCCATTAGGCAATATTACTCTTCTATTACCACTGCCTATAAATAAATACAATAAAAATCTAATATTTTTTGTCAAAATTTCTATAATTACCTATTACAATGTTATCTTTCTTCCAGATAATCTTAGGCCTGGGTGCTGCCTCAGGATTGCATTTTATAGTAGTATTTCCATTCTCTGTGGCATAAGTTTCGCTTTCCATTGGATGTTTCTTAAACGTAGGCTTAAGAGCTGCAAAGATTTGTTTTTAATTAACATTAAACTAAATTTAAAACAAATATGCCTTCGTACTTATAACTTTAAGTTGTGCACTGGAATATACTGCTTTTAACTGATTTGTTGCTTTGCACTGATACATTCCATTATCTCTTGTTGGATCCAAGTATTTTATATTCAATATGTTATCCTGAATATGATATCTGTCCCTGTCCAATTCATGTAGAGTATCCATATCTGAAAATAGATTTGTCAATAAACCTGCATTAAGTACAATAATATATAGAATTATACCTAGTAGTTGTCCATTTTTATACCAAGTATAGTTGGCATTTGGGTAAGCAATTACTTCACATAACCAATTCAATTCACTCTTAATATCCATGATCATGTTTTCCAACGGTATGTTGAATACAGGGTAACTCTGCACCACCAGATCTAACTTTTTAGACAATTTTGCTCTATCATTTTTAACTGTACATTCATATGTACCTTTGTCTTGTATTGTGATGTTAGGAATTATCAACACTCTGTTATAACTTTGGAAATAAGCATTTTTAGGTAAATCACCATTTAGTCTTGTCCAGTTATAAGTCGGAACCGGGCTGAAAAATAATATTATACTGGAGCACAAAATATGGGCAAATTTGATATATATCACAAACAAACATTGGATTTAATTTTTCAAATGTTGTTTACACAATAGGGGTAATATATTTACCATTATTATTTTGTTATAATTCTACATATACTTACTATCCATAAGCCATGCATTCTAATCTAACTTGCTGTCCAGCAATAGGAGCTTCAGGAAACGACTTAGGGAACGTATTTGGAAATAGCAGTATTTGATAATTAGCTAAAACAATCATAACACAAATATTTCTCAATCAAAAATAAAACATATTTTGCTACAATTTTGGTACTTACAATGAGGGAGAACTTGGAGATCAAAAAATGGTCCATTCCTTCCTGTATCTGAAACTTTACTTTGAACTGTACAACTATATTTTCCTCTATCAATTGTTTCAAGAGCTGAAAAATATAATGCTCCATCATCGCTTACAAATACACGACGATCTTCTTCTACAAAATTTGGGAAATAATCTCTTGCCCAATAATATTTGACACCTGTAATATAATTACATTATATTATACAAAATTTTCATTTTATAATCAACATGCACATCATAAGTTTATAATTTGTTTAAAATTATTTTTGTAAAATTGAGTAATTTATACTACATTATACCTGGATAATGCTGTGGAGGATCACAATATAATGCTTTGCCAAAATTTGCATCTCCTCGTTCACCTTGTCTTTTCAAATTAAACTCCAAAATATAACTGAAAAGCACACCGTTTATCTAAACAGGCCAAAAGTATTTGAAGTATGTAAAATTTAAAAATTCTTACCCAAATGATAATTCAACAGTGTTCGATAATATGGACCCAAATTTATTTGAGGCCTTGCAATGATAGTTTCCTCTGTCGGTTAATTTTTTTGGTTCATGTATAATTAAATTCCCACCACTGACTGTGTACTTGTTATTTAAGAGAGGTTCAATTTTATATGATGTTAAATTATCATTAACAAATTCCTGCTTAAACCATTCGTAGGTTGGGGTGGGATAACCAACTGCTAAACAGCTGTAAAAAATTAACAATTAAATAACTTTGTGATTCAATAAATAATCTCAAGTTATATACCTCAAAGTTACACCACCCGATATATTTTTTTTAGTTATATCAAATATAGTATCTTCGGGCTGTCTTACAAAAACTGGACCCATAGGAATCATTTTTTTATCAGGAATATCAATTCCAAAGTCTAATTCTCGAGTAGCATATATATAATGCTGCAGTTTACTTGAGTGACCCTCACAGATGAACAAATGAGGTTCATTATGAGGCGTGGGCTTAAATCCCCATCGATTCTGTACTGGTGAAAAGCTGAAGTATAATAATACATTATTTATTACATTCATAAAAAAATATGGATATTAAAAAAAGTACATTATAATTATTGCAATATACCTGTAAGTCAAATATTCTCCATACGGCTCATTAATATCTTGAGGATATATATTTTCATTAACTAAATTTGTATTGTCATTATTGATCCATTGATTATTAATAAGTTTTGCACTTATTAAGTACCGATTATCATGATTTTCATCTTTTATAAGATGCTTGATTATGAATGCATGCTTCTTGACTGTATCAATATTTGCTAAATCAACATTGTACGTCTGTAATAAAATAAGATATGATTCAAATTATAATATAAATTAACTAGCAAATTAAGTGCAGGATTCCTTTATATTTGTTATTACCTGGCATACTTTGAAAGCTTCATTTCTAGTTTTGAGACTAATAAAAAATCTGAAACATATATCATTATAGCTTCCACCTCTATTGAAATCCGAACTGGAATCTGGGTTGTATGAAATCCAAAACTTGGGACAGTTACCATTGGAATTTTGATCATTATCAGATTTTTCAATGTAATCATCAATGTTCAAGGTTCCAGGACCTCGATAATCAATATTGAATTGATTAAATTGGTCTGAATTCTGATTATATCGGTAATCGTTGCCATAATCATTTAAATTGTAATTGCTATTTATATTTGAATTTCGAAAGTTTGTATACTTATCACCACCTAAGAAGTTATTTTGGTCATATGGATTGTCTTGCGGTTTATAATTTTGGTCATATAATTTATTGTCAAGTTGACATAAAACTTGTGCAATTAGACCAAATATAATTGAGAATAACCATCTATGAATCATCTTATTCATATTAGAATTTTTGAGGCGTGGCACCAAAGTTATACCGATTATAACTATTGAATGGTATTTATTTTATAAACTTTTATTTATAATGCGATTCATAATCATATAGCACTGCTGTAGCTCACATAACAATTTTACTTTCGAAAGTACAATTATTTTAAACAAAAAAGACATGAAATTAACCTACAGAGAGTAAGACATTATTGAGTTTAGTAAACACAAACATAAACAAACACAAGAGTCATGAATAGATAGGAAACTGTAGAAAGGAAAAACTTAACCTGGTGACAGCATTTGGAAACAACTTCAATGCGGTAAAATTTAAAAAATATAATGGAAAATGGTAAACTCCTAGAGATATGTTGAATTATTATAATTAATTTTCTTTGCTTTCATTGTTTATTTAAATTTTATATTCAATAAGGATAAACCAGAAAAATTAATAAAAACTAAAACAACTTTGTGGTTTTGAAGGTACAAAATGTAATGGCCGCAACGTGGACCTAATTCTCTTTCTAACTTGCGAATTAATATAATGCATTATTATATTTATATTTTTAAAAATATTTAGTTAGTATTAAGTTGAATTAATAGTTTATCAATAAAACTTCGCCCTTTATTTTATTCAATTTTCCTACCAGGGGGTTTGTTTGTAACCCATTTTCACAACCAATGCCTGCTATTGATTTCTGTTATCTGCGATGTGTAACTTCCGACTTGTCACATTCTCTTGTTACGATATTCGAATTAAAACAAAAAAATGTTTTTTGATGTAGCAATTATTGTTCAATAGTTTCACACCACAAGTGAATAAAAATTTTATTTATATGAATGATACGAATATTCGTTTTATTTTGCGTTGTGTATGATATAATATAGTTTAAAAGCTGTTTTCAATATGTTTTTATATTTCTTTACTTTAGATCATATTTTAAACTGATAATTTTAATTGAATTTTATTTATATGAAAATCTGTAATTATGGCTGAATCAACAACGTTGCTGGTTGATGACAACGTTAATTATGAGAAAGAAATCAGTTCGTTTCAAGATAAGAACACATGCAATAGGTATATACTTTTATATACATAACATATTTTGAATTTTTATAAAACCTTTATTTTAGTTTGAGTCAGGAAGCACTTAGGTTAAAAGTATTAGAAGAGGAACAAGAACTTCTAACATCGTCTTTATTTTCATTAACAACACATTTTGCACAGGTAAACATTGACACCACAATTCATTTCAGAAACGACCTTATTTTCATACAATATATTTCCATTAGGTGCAGTTTCGATTACATCAAATAGTAGAGGCACCACCATCTGAACGAGAAGTTTTATTAAAATCACTAGAAGAATTTGCTTTTCGAGGCGTTAAAAAAGTAGAATTCAGTTCTAGTGATAATGAAGTCAACGAAGATAGTTCTCAGATGTCATCAGCTGAAAATAAACTATTGCGAGAGCAAGAATTAATTAATTTATTGAAAAGTGAACTCCAAGAGGTTGAAAATTATGCATATTCTACTGGTAGTGCAGGAATTCCTCAATCAGTTCTTATTGAACGTCAAAAAATCATTATTGGTATGATTATATATTTAATTTTTAGTTAATTCTTTAGAATCATCTTTGAGTTTGTTTTTGCTAATGTTAAAATCGAGAGTTTCTCAATGTTTTGTATATCAGACTATAAGTATATCTTTTTAATTGCAGATGAATTAAGAAATAAAATAAATTTAAATTTGGATGAGCTTGACCAAAGTACTTTGTCTCCTGAAGAACTACGTCAGCAAGTGGATTGTGCAATAGGTCAGCTTGTGGGGCCTTTAAAGATGAAAGATGCTCTAGTCAATCAACTGAAAACACAAATTCAAGATCTCGAAAGGTTTATAAAATTTTTACAAGAGGGTCCATATGCCAAATGGGACGATGCTAAATTCAAAAACTCAAAAAGATTGCAAACTGTAAACACGGACCAGAAAGCTGTAGCGCTTTTGAATAGGTAGCAATAAAATTAACATATTTTTGTATAAACATTTTAAAATAAATTTGAAATTTTTTAGTCGTAATGATCAGCATAATAATCGTGGTAATGAAGGTAAAATCCAGTCTTCTACAAGCGGTATTATGAAGAAGGCTGCAGAATTCATCCAGATATTTACTTCTAACCAATTTGCTTGTGATACTTATCAGTTCTCAGATAATAAATTAAAGAAAAACAAACATAATCATTGGGGGTTCGAGAATGCTATTTAAATTTATGACTATTTTATATTCTTCTACAATCTAACCATTTTTCTGCATTTATAGTGATCATCGCGCTCAGTTAGAAGTTGCTGTAGAAGAAATCATTTTATTATTAAACCAAAATCGGGCTGACGATAATCATGCAGGTAACAAGGACATTCTTAAGACCGATGAAGGAATGGATAAATTTGATATTCGAGTAACTACAGTTGTACGAAAGCAACTTGCTATTTGCCTAAGAAACCTTATGCAGCACGGTTTAATGCCTGTAATTTTAATTAAGTGTATTAAATTTCATAACTTGTTGACAAGCACTCAAAGCTCATCTTTGTAGGCAGTGCAGCAAACCAGCGTAGTTCCATTCTTTGGGTGCTTTAGTCTTCGAAGTCAAGTTGTACCAAAATTTATGCATGCATGGGAACTTGTATTAAAATATTATCATCTCAAAAACGGTGATCTTTATAATGCTACACCGGCAAGATGCTTGTCGCAGAGTTTTAATTTAAGCATAGTTGTTGGATCTACGAAGTCCAGCAAATTGGTAATGTTCCCTTTTGAATCATGAATGTTATTTTTCTATTTGTTGAAAGCCTGTTTTATACATTATTACGCCTTGGTGTACTTATCTTATCAATTTTGTTTCAGGGTTTGCTTGGTGCAGTATCAGGAATTATAGCTGATCATAGTCCTTATAAAAGTAGTTATGATTCTCAATTTAAGGCCTTTGTTTGTGCAGCTTTAAAGTAAGTTTAGCATCAAAAAATAATCTAAAACTGCCTAATTTTGTACATATTGACCAAAACTTAATATTTTCAGTGCTAATAAGTTAGTGCCCTGGTTAAAATTGATTTTACAATGCAAACAACTAATTAATATGCACTATGCACCTTGGAGTTACGTGGTAAAAACTGGTATGTAAACATCATGCTATTCACTATATTGAAACTTATTTTTATTTTTTAAAATAATGAGTACATTAGTAATACATTTGTTACAGGTTTTGTAGATAGCTTGCAATGCTTAGACAAGTTAACAAATCATTCATTTGACTTGCCTGTGGACTTGGCAGTACGCAAATTCCATAATATAAAAGATGTATTTATGTAATTTACTTGTAAAATATTAGAACTATTATATTTATTGTGAATATTCAGATCGTTATTTTATTTCATAGATGAATCAGTATTCAATGGGTAATAATGATCTGATGAGAATATGTTATCATAAATTAAAATAAATACATTTATTATGATTCTTAATTTGCATAATAAAATAAATAACAAGGTTAACAATGATGACATATTTCAAAGTTAAAGTAGTAATACGCATTCATGGAATGTAAAAAAACAACAAATACCAATTTTGGTTAAGCAAATGCAATGCATTTGTTTTTATAAATGAAATAACTTTGATTGGCTTTTAAAACCAATTATTTTACCTTTCGCACTACTTTTATATTGCATCTGTCAAGGTATTAAAGCTGCGTCTTCTTTATCTGTTAGAGAACTTCTCGATGATCTACCTTGAGCATTAACACTTGTTCGAGATGAATTAATTATCTCCATAAGCATTGCTTCATTGTCCATTAAGTTTTCTGCAACTCCTTGCTGTGCACTGATTGATCTAGCAAATTTCTTCATCATTCTTTCTTGTCTCTCCTGCTCTCTTCGCTGTTTCAAACGTTCAAAATTTTCATCTTTTGTGCTCTTATTGCTTCGCAAGCTGGTTGTGTCATCTTAAATAGAAAAATACGATTTATGACTTGCAACTATTTTATATTAATCATCATTTCATATCTTTTACAAAATATTTATTGATTTTCAATTTACAAAATATTTCAATTTGTAAAAAATCATTTCATTCAGCACCCATATAAAGTTTTATACGGAATTCGCCAAGGATCCTTCTTTGCGGAACTCTGATTTTAATCATTGTCGTGCATTACTGTTAATAAAAATTAACATATTCGTGTCTTACCTTGTTGTTCTGTAGGGGTTATGCCTTCAAAATCTGTGAGTGAGACTCCTGCGCCGATGTGTGCCTGAGCAGGTGCAGACGTGCTAAACATTCCATCCGTACCGGCTGCGTATCCCATGTTTTGAGGTGCTACAATATAAAAAAATAAATATGTATACAAGAAGATTGAAAGTAAACACAACTCACCTGTCTCTGACTGCGTTCGTATATAACTCGATCCTTTAGGCACAGGAACAGGATCCGAAGGCGGAGGCGGGCCTATTGTATTAGAAAACATGCCTACAACACTAGGCCTGTATTCAGGTCCTTTGGAAGTTATAGTCAACTGTTCATCCACCTCTTCAATAACTTGGTCAGCTATTCGCATACTACCACCAGCTATAGCTTTTCCATGCAAGCTAACCGAGCTTGTAGATCCCATGAGAGTCGGCACGTTATTCGGAACTGATCCAGAGCCACCTTTAAAAAATATTTTGATAAACAAAAACTATAATTTTTTTTGGTCAATTTATTACTACCATCTGTCTGAGTCGTCGTAGGCGATTTGTCATCGCGAGTGAATATTTTCTTCAAAGCATTCGTCACAGAATTAACCCTGGTTATACTTGTAGCTACTGCTCCCATGCTGGTCAGGGAAGATTGCGAATTACCAGAAGCATGTCGTTCGCGCTTTCGAATTGAATCTTTTCGCGAGGCAGCCCGAGCGACGAAATGTATACCACTAGCTGCATCATCGTTGGCATTCTGGAAATATAACATGAATTTATTAATTTTATCAGGACTTAATATCAAGGACCATTTATGAAAAAACTGCATCACTCTTTAAAATTAAAAAAAAAAACATCTCCATATGTAGCTATACTATACTCTAATATTAATTTTTATTTGGAAAATGTTTTTAATATAAATAGACAATAGCCGTGCATGCTCTGAATGATATAAATACAAGATTTTATAGAGCGTTAGTTTGTTAACACTATACATAGAATTTGAGTCATAAGTCAGATTTAAGTGATTGACTATACGATTTACGTGGCTGGTATTGAATAACGTCAAATAAGAACTAAAATTAATATAAATTCAAATGTAGTTATAAACTGAGTTAGTTCGGTTATTACGATCGATCTATATAAGACACACTACAGTAGTATTTCCTAATTATACAAAATCCTAAGCTATATCTCACAAATATTTATTGTTGTTTTTTGCTGTATGAATCTAATAATCTAGCTAGGTAGCAGTAAAAACGCTTAGTAAAATATAAGCAAAACCAGGCATATCAAATGTAATATATCAAATAATTTTGAAGAAGCTGCAGTTGTACTTCCAATGAAACTTTTCTCTAGTATCTACAAAGCTACAAATAAATAAAACTTATAATTTAAATTTAAACTTTATATAAATCGATCTGTCGTTCGAAACCTGATCAGACTGCCACCAGCATGACTGTATGAATTACTCACAAATCTAACGATACCTCAGGTGTATTTTCCATGAATTTGTAACTCACAGTATTCAAATCACTACCAGCCCCGTTCATGTCATCAATCTTGACACTACTTGGGTTAACATGAATGGTGCCTCGACCTCTAGGCGAAACCTCGATGTTGGCAGTTGAAGGCTGCGGATGTTCTTCTCGGAATTGCTGAGCGGCCACAGTATACGGCAAGCCAGCAGGAAACACTTCATCCCAATATTGATCTTTTATCAACTCTGGATGATCATGATGCATTTCATCCACTATGAGGTAGGAAACTTGCAGATTTCTGTCAACGAGCCAATTAACTTCAAAATCGTCGTCGTCTTCACCAAAAGGGTTTATAAGAGACTCGGCCACTTTAAGCCAACCCATGTAGAAGAAGAACTGTAGAGTTGTGAAGAATGGAAAATATAGATCGATCGTGTTCAAATATCCTTCCTTAATGATGGTTTGTTCGGTCCACTGCCTCGCCATGATAGAAGTAATAAAATAAGAATATACCGCCAGGGTCACCACTTGAGTGTAAACTAAAGGAACGCTAATCGTATCGTAGCTGATCAATGTTCCACATTGTCCACGGAATTTGTTTAGCTCATCTATAACAGTTTTAACGGCAAAGTCATCTCTGATCCTGCCTTCTTTTCTGGCTCTTGTCACAACGCTTGCAGCCCAAACGATTGGCAACCAATGCTTGGAATGTCGGGGAAACTTCGTGTTTAAATCGTCCATGATAACACGTTCGTTTTCGGTCAAAAGACCAGCCTCTAGTAAATGATCTAATGTAGGGAAACGTTTCTTGACACGGGGTGATATCATACTGAAGACCATAGTCATACATAGGCAGACGTATCGTAAAATTGTACGACGCATCAGTCGACCACGTTCATCCTAAACAAATTATTATCGTCAAACTCATAATATTCGTCAATAAAATTAAAATCAGATCGAAAATGAATATGCGTATTTAAATTCCAAATTAAGATAAAAATGCTACATTATATTGCTGCTTCCAATTCATTATGGGGCTTATAAAAAGTCCATAAACATAATAAATTTATGATGTCAATAAAAATATTTAACCCTCAATTACACCCTCACCTGTCCATGTATATTAGCACTAACGAAAACAGCAATTGGGTCGGGCCAGGGTATGCTCGTATATTGGCCCCACCATCTCGTCATAACAATTGATACATAAAAACCCAACACGAAAGACAAGGGAATTAAATCTGTGTATGTAGCACAATATAGTACTATACCTTCAAATATTCTAAAAAATATGTTAAATTATTAAAGTATATTTTTATTATTTACCTTTTGAAATTTGATAAGATTTACCTTTTAGCTTCAGCATCGAGATATAATCTATAGGTTAAATTTAGTATGTAATATAATAAGAGAAATGCCAGCAAATCGAGCCATACTAATTTGTAAATACTACCTCGCCACCTGGAAATTATAACATATGTTAAAACTATCTCAATATTATATAAAATAAGTAAATGCTGTCTATATTATGCTATATAAATATTATTAGGAAAAATAAGAGATTGATATAGTATGTAAGACAAGAGTAGAAATAATATCTATTATTATTGATTGCGGCTTGCTATAATAAATAAATAAAATAAATAAATGTATATAATATATTTTCTAATGAATGTATATAATACAACTTCTTTTTCAACAGTTCCTACTTTTCCTATTTTGTTCGAAATTATTTAAACAATTTCCTTTTAAACCCTAAATTTAAGTTTTACACCATCAATGATCAATTTATTCCGTACTTAATTCTTTTGTGATACTGCCCTTATTTTTTATTTTTCAGATTAGAGGAAATAAAAATAAAAAATGCTAAATGCAAATTTTATAATTCATCTGATCCATATGATTTTTTTAAAATATCAAAAAACATGGATATCATTGTCAACATATGATTTGTTTAAAATTTTATTTTGAACAAGAATCAGAACAATACTCTATGAGCTGTTCTGATGAGATTCCTTCAGAATTATCGATTTTTTTTCAAAACAAAATGTTTCAAAATTATTAATTATATTATAATGTTGATTTATTATAAAGTAATTAAGTTAACCTAATATATATTTATTAATCCAGAATTTTCAATTTATCATGTTTTAAGGCTTACCATTACAACTTACTCGAGTATAATAGGGATCCCTATTAGAGCATTATAGTAAAAATTCAAATCTATAATTTCAAGTTTGAAAAAAAAATCTTAAGAAATTTTAAACTGACAAGTAATACTTTTATTTATGGTAATAATATTAGATCTGTTTACAAATACAGAATGATACAGTGAATGCTAATTGTGTGCTTCATAAGGAAATATTGAGAACATAGTCTGTAATCAGAAGAAACTGAATTATAGTCCTAGATTTTGTAAGAACGAGTTTATTCCAATGTACACACACATGCAATATATATATATATATATATATATATATATTTATGTATATATACTAGCTAGCCCGGCAAACGTTGTTTAGTCATAAAAAATATTTCTAGACAATTTTTAGTATAAAAACTAACTGATTGTGAAATTAGAAGCATGTGTTATATGAGTGAAAGGAAAAGCTAACACAAATTATATGGAAGGTATACTCACTGCAACGCATGCCACATATAAATGTTCATGGGGCATATTGAAGTGAGAAACTGATTTCATTTAAATTAAATTAATCTAAACTAAAAAATTAACCTAATAGCCAAATCATAAACTGATTTCGTTTAAATTGATTTGGCACATTTGTAAATTCAAGGTTTTGATACATTATTACTGAGCTGTATTTGCTTTTTAATTACAAATTATAAAAAAATAAAATAAAAGACATTGATCTAAAAAATAAAAATAATCTAAGAGGTGATCAACTTAGAGGCAAGAAAAATAGATGTTCGCCGATCCTCAGACTAGCCAATGTTAGCCAATGTACTTTATATATATAATTTTGAACAAACAGTTTTTAACATGTATCCATCCAGTTACTAAAATGGAGCAAAATTAAAATTAAAGAATTAAAAAAAATTAATAAAACTTTTTTCAATACGGTCATTTTAACTTTCTTTATTAAATACATAATTCTTTTTCACAATTGTGACTCAAGAATCAAATCTTTTGTTCATCGTGTGTGGTATTTGTGTTATTTTAAACAATTTGTGTATATTGTCTACTGAAGAAGAGTCGAACTGGGATTCAAAACATTTGGATGCATTAAAAATTTTTAAATGACTTAGTTTTTTTTATAACTAGATGGAAAACTTGTTTGTTCATAACTATAAATCTTTCACCATCTGAAATATTATTACATTGACTAGGAGATTGACAGAGACAGATGAACTATAAATTTTTTTTTGAACATTTAAAAATTACAAAGTAAATATAAAACTTTGGATCAAAGGAAAATATATAACCTACAATGTAACGTCTGCATCAATATAGAGAACAACTTTCCAAGTTATTTATAGTATTAAAAGCAACTGTAATGCTTGCTTGCAATAATTCATCTAGGCTCTCTCCAAATTATATTTGTAGTGAATATCTAATTAAGATTTAAATTTAATCAAATTAAATTAGTAAAGCTAGAAGTTGTTATATCTAAAATAAATAGCCAAAGATCTTATAACAAACATATGTAGATCACAACATTAAGCAATATGGAATATTTTTCCACGTTGAAAATTTAATCTAATGACTACCATTCCCAAGAATGTGGTTGTCAAATGAGCATCTAATGTAAATATAATAAAATGAGTATAAAATGACTTGCTTAGCTAAACTATTAATACGGTTTCGTAAAAAAACAGATTACCTACATTAAATAGGAACCGAGCCAAAACTAACAACGCTTTTTATCGTACATTTACTTCACATTTGTTTATGGCATTAACATGCAGGTGTTAATTATATTCTTATATAATGTTTAGTTTGTTTAGCAATCACCTTTCAATCAATATTTAATCATGTTCTATTTTTATTGTTTGCACTGATGCATCTAGAGATTTGTCAATGAGTAATAAATATTTAATTGTATATAGGGTAAAGCGGGGCTTAAAGGTCCACACCATTTCCTCAAAAACAATGAAAGTAAAAAAAATGTTAACGATGATATTTTAAAGTAGAGGGCAAAAGATGCGTAATGAGCCATCATCTTGATTTTTACAACATCGCTATCAGAAGATACAAACAGCCATGAAGAATATTCATAACAAAAGTATTTTGTTTCGTCTGCAGTTTTTTTTTTGGTTTTGAGCTCTTTTATTTAGTTTATGATGCCTAAATATATATTTTTTCGTTTTGTAAGTTGTATTGTTATTACCGTAGAGTAAGTTATAGTAATCGTTATCGTTATCAATAAAAAAAATCAAAATTTAAAAAAATCAAATTTTTCAAAGTAATTTTTTTTCAAAAAATCTCAAAATTTCTCAAAAATCTGATTTTTTCAAAGTTTTGCAGAGTTTTTTTTTTAATATTTTAGTTTTCGGTACGAAAAGTTTCAGCAATTTGCCTTATATTCAACAGTTTTTTTATATAACTCTATAGAAGCTTATAAAAGCTTACATGTAGGTGGGGTAAATAGGACCAACTAAACAATAAGAAAATAGTAGATAAAAAAGTAAATTAAGTTAAAAAAATCATAAAAAATAATTAAATTAATAGTTATTTCATTTCTGCTGATGAATATTTCTCACGAAATACCAGATCAAGGTTATATACGGAGCATTGTTTGAAAAAAATGTGTTCCTAAAATTTTTATTTTGAATTGGTAAATTAATTTAGCTATTATTTCGTAAGATCTCTATAAAATTTAAATAAGACATTGTATCTGTTCGCCCAATAGTAAAAAAAGAAAAGAAAAAATAAAAAAGAGAAAAAAAAGAAGAAAAAAAATTAAAAAAAATAAATAAATAAATTTAAAAAATGGGACAGGTGACAACTTTTAGAAAACTTTACTAAAGAAACATATTTCTATGATTAGGAAATAAAAGGGAATTTACAATACATAGTTCGAAAGTTATTTGTTTGATATGCATTTCATTTCATTTGGTTTAGACAGCATATTTACTAAAAGTCCTTTGGACCTTTGCACCCCCGCTTGACCCTATTTATTAAATTTTGTAAATTATAATTGAGAATCACAAAGTATAATATATCATTTTTATAATGGAAAATATTTTTAGTTGAAAGTTTTTTCCAATAATGTAAATTACAAGAAAATGCAAATAACCACGATAATAATTTAAATATTTATCTTCGGACGTACCTTAAATTTTCTAATTGTTTGTATGTGAATGTATAATTTGCTGTACTAATTATATGTATTTATTTTAGTATACATAGTATACTATATATCTAATATCTAATTCACATTTAGTACAAAAAACTATTTATCAGCAGTAAAAGATTAATTATTCTAATAAAATATCACAAATGGTATTATAAACATATCGCCTGTGATAAATCATATGTATTCTGGCAAGTAATGACATCACCTAGTTGTGGGAATCAGCAAAATGATCTCATCGAAACAAACACGAAAAAGTTTAATATTGAAACAATTTTAGATAAAAAGAATTTGAATTCCACAAATCGTTTAACTTGACGTCATACAGCAGTGATATCAATTTTCACTTGAAAATTAATAATAAATAACAAATTTGTTTTGAATGAAAATAGATCCCATCACAATTAGAAAAGAGCAACGATTTGGTTGTCTTAATAAAAAAAATATATTACAAAATAGAATAGTATGACCATTGGGTTGTTTCTTAATAATCATTATTAAAAATGATTACAAAGACTTATAAATTGCTAATTTTTTATTGCTGTTAAAATAGAAATAAAACGTATTGATATACACTTTAATACTACATTTTACGTCGATGACAGAAAATAATTACAGGTAATCAAATTATACCTGAAGCACAGGTGTAAGTGACAGTTTTTCAATTAGCGTGAAATAACGTGATTATAATTAGCATAATAAAGTCTTTTCGCTAATAATTTATTATAGAGATGTATGTAAGTGATAAAGTAGATACGTTTTCATTTGGCACATAGAAAGTTTTTATTTGTTTTTATATATTAGGACCTGTATTTGTGTAAAAAAATAGACCTTTCGACCTTTAGTTATTAAAAAAAATTGATATAGTAGTCTGAACAAAATTTGTCTGGTGTTAAAAAAATGTAAACATTACTTATGCAATTAATTTTTTTTAACTTCTCATAGGGTAAGTTATAGTAATCACGAAAAATCGAAAATGAAAGTTTTTATATATCTTTACGTTTCAGGGGTTTCTGAACATTTTAGCATACCTTTGAAAAACATTTTTTTACACATTTTTCCGATAATCACTTTTTTTTCAAAAATTTAATATTTCTCAAAAATCTATTTTTTTCAAAGTAAAATTTCTTCAAAAATTTTAATCTTTTTTATAAAAAGTAATTTTTGGTACGAGATGATTCAGCGATTTGCCTTAAGGCACGATGCCATGCACTCCTAGTTTTTTGCATTAATTCAATATTATACAACAGTCAGAGTTACCTACAGAACTCTATAGGTTATAAGGCTAAATTACACATAAAAAAATAATCACAGAAATAAAGAAAAAGAAAAAGAAAAATTAAAATAAAAAAATAAACATAAATATAAATTAATTACAAATAAAGAAAAATAAATAAATAATAAATAAAATAATAAAAAAATGTAGTGATTGCTCCAATAAGCATTTTTTTACATTAAGTCTATAGGCAGTTTCTTGTATAATTAAAAATAACATATGTATCTATAATCTCTATAAGTCATTATTTTAAACCTTGGAACTTCGTTATTTTTTATCGGCGCAGTATTTACAAAAAACCGTCATTAAACAAAATCTACTACTGTTTTGGAATTTATCAATATATTTTGTATTGAAAACAGTATGGTCACACATATTTAAAAGTATATTTTTATATGTCATATATTATCATAGTTTATTTTTATCAATACACATTTCATTCTAATTACTCAAAGAATGTTGTTAATAGAATTTGAATTTTGTTACTTGTTGGATAGCTCATTGGCACGTGTACTCTTGATAATATCATAATAATTGCTTCAGAAAATAATTAAACTATAAAAATTGTATCAGTAATGTGTGGAAGATATCAGAACTAAGAATTACTATTGAATTCAATTATAAATTCTATAAAAACTTTTCATGTATTGGGATTGAACCTGAGACAAGTTTGTGCTAGCCCACATACTTAACCATTACACCACGATGGGCTCTATAATAATAATACAAACAGCTTCTATTTTTTTTAATTTAATGGACGTGAATCAATTAAATTTTTATGCATTAAGCATAAGTGTGAGTGTTGAAATAAATATGTTTATCGACGAAAGAGATCTTAGAATAAAATTACTTTTATCAGGAAGGTGGTTTCGCTCAATGGAAATATTTTTTATTATAATAATATGATGGTGAAATATTTATGGAAAACGTTGTTGTCTACTCTATAAAATAGTGAAAACAAAATTTATTTAGTTCGTGCACATATTCCAACAAATAAAACTAAACTAGTGGTGCATGGCATCGTGCCTTAAGGCAAATTGCTGGAACTTCCCGCACCACAAATTATTTTTTTTTTAAAAAGCTTTAAATTTTTATAAAAACTTTGAAAAAATTGGATTTTTGAGAATTTTTAATTCTTTGAACAATTTGCCTTTTCTTTAATTTGAAATATTTTTTTATATTTTAAACTTGAGTCAAAATATCAAAGCGCATTAGCGCCGCGTCGCAGTCTTACGGATAAACATCGGTACGGAACTCATATAATTGTAAACAAAACTTTTGTAGTTATTATAAAATCTCTATGAAATATCTGATAATTGATGTACATATGTCTAATAATCATTTTTGTCCGCTAAATGACATATTTTTTAACTTTTTTTACTGGATCTCCGAAACCGCTAGACCTGCTATCCCAAAAATTTTATCAATTCTTCATTTCGTCAATACAAATAAAATGTTTTTTGAATCACACAAATCGGACGTTTCGTTCTCTCAAAAAATCAATTACCATTTTTGGCACTTTTTGCCTCGTATCTTTGGAACGGCGCGACCTGCCTTTACCAAAAACTAATTAGCATGTCTCCTTATCAATACGAATCGAATGCTTTTTGAATTATTCAAATCGGTTGTTCCGTGTTCTTGCAATCGTGGACCAAAATTTGTATCCACACACACATACATACATACATACTTATATATACACATATACACACATACAACCATTTTTTCTAAAGCATGCCAAAATGTTCAGAAGACCTTAAAAGGTTAAGATAAGCAAAAATTTGTATTTTCGTTTTTATGCGATTACTATAACTTACCATACGAGAAGTTAAAAATAAAAATCTCGGTACGGGACTTAAAAAAATGCAAACTTTGCACTCATATTAAAATACCTGTAATACATCTGATAATTTGATGTGCATGTCCAATAATTTTGACCACTAAATATTATTTTTTTTGATATTTTTTCTGGATCTCCGAAATCACTGTATCTGCCTTCTCAAAAACTTGTTCATTCCGTTAGTGCATTTAATGATTCATTCAAATCAGACTCTCAAATAGGTTGAACCGTTTTTTGAATCATTCAAATCGGTTAATCCGTGCTTTCAAAATCGTCGTCAAAAAATTGTATCCGCACAAACACGAGCACATGCATGCATTTCTTCTAAGGTGTTTTAAAATGTTCAGAAGGTCTTAAAAGTAAAAATATGCAAAAAGTATAATTTTCGGTTTAACATTACGGTAAGTTAAAAATACACCAAAGAAATGTGCAAATTATTTTTATAACTGCGCAGGATAAAAGTTAAAAATTGTTTTTACGATGCTCTTTGTGTAAAGGCGCGACATAGCAATATCGTTGTTCAAATACATTATTACCGCTATAAATTCGAATGAAATTGCTTCTCATTTTGACATGGACAGACAAAACAGTACGGAAATTTTTCCGAGTAGACATTTCTCTTATTTATTTTATTCACTTACCTTAATAGCAATTTGAGGAAACATCCAAAACCACGGCACGTGGCTACTTGCGCCGTATAGGTAACAGTCATCTTAATAAAATTGTCTTTTAGTTGATCACAGATTGATTCGAGTTAATTTAAAATTTCGTACATATCACTATTCTGTTTCAGAATATAGTCATCGTTTAAAAATACTGTAAAAAAATATGAAATCTTTTGTTAATAGTGCGTGAATGTTGATTGTAGTAACACATAAATATGAAGTAACGTGTAAATGAATAATTAAATAGATTACATCACTGTTGGGAAAATATTTTGTGCTGTATGGATGATGAATTTCTTAAAATTAATTCTAATATGACACATGCTTGGGCACTAAAATTGACAAATTTATGGAATTTAAACATTTTTGGAATAAAAACTATACCTGTAATCAATAGCACTACACTGTCACACTAATTGTTAACTACAGGCAATTACCAGCTCATTGAATTGAAATATAATAATTTGCTATTATTTTTTCAATTTTTCAAATGAACAAAATATTGTTCTATAAAGATATCCAAAACATAATTCTATCATATATTAGGTTGTCAAATATCTCCCTTCCGCTTTTTTGCTCTTGGTTTATAATACAAAAAGGCGGATGGGAGATATTTGACATCCTATTATATACAGGGTATCCCAGAACTCAACGTCAAGCCGAAACGGAGTGAGAGTATTGACCATAACTGTCCTGGGAAAATTTAGAAAAAAAAATCATCTCACTTTGTTTGGAACCTTGAACTTTGATGAAATGAAGCCAATTTCTCGGATATTGTAGTTAATTTTTATTAAATTTGTTCATTTAAACTTTGAAATCTTAACCGTGAAGAACAATTTTAGGGCCATAGTCAAAAATAATAACACAATTGCCCCAAGTTTTCTAGAATTAAGACCATTTGTTGAACTATCAAAACCGGTCGAGTTCAGAAGCCATGCTTTAATTTTTTTTTATTAACCATTCAAATTACAATATGTCTTAGTGAAGACATTTAGTAATTGATATGTTATAATATATAATTTATTTAGAAAGATTAATCATTGGTAATTCTTTCTAGTGTGGATAAATGCTGTTACTGATTACTATACAAATGCTCTTTAAAAAGAAAATGTACTAAAGTGACTTGATAATCCTCACACTCATATATTTTTCTTCTATTTTTTCCAGAGCAGTTACGGCTAACACTATCACCCTGTTCGGCTTGACGTTGAGTTCTTGGACACCCTGTATATTGTAATCAATATTTTCTGTAATGCAACGCATTCTCAGTTAATATAAGCCACAATAATAATAATGTCATTTACTCAAAAACGGCTAAACCGATTTAAAAAACTTGAAAGTCATTTGATGTATTTTGATAAGTACCTACTAATAATGATTAGTTTTACCAGACGACCGGCCAAGCTGTTTCTTTAGAATTAATAGAAAAATGCAAAAATCCAAAAACTTTTCGAAAGATATCAGTTGGGAACTGTGGTGATTAGTATTTTGTAAAGATCAGTGAGCCCTTTCTTCGATTTTGATAAAACTTTATGATGATAGAGTTCAAGGTCTAAAATATTATTACCGGTGTTAATTACGAAAAAGTCTTAAATTTTGCCAAACTGTATAGTCACAATTGTAAAGTAGATAATCTCAATTTTCTTCAACTAAGTCTATTATTTGCATAAATCTGGAAGTTCATGCAACTTGCCTTAAAGCAAAATGCCACTTACGACTAGTTTAAATATTCATATTTGGTATTATCTTGAATTCAACATAAAAAATAACAATATAACACAACAAGACACTTTTGTACACATTTTAAACTTAATGCTAACAACGACACCAAAACTAACAACATGACAATTAATAGTAATGCATCAACAAATACATTTATCACTTAATAAATTTATTACCACAGCAAACGCCTACACATTATATCAATACGATATGATTTTGCATTGTTGAAATATAAAATAAACTAATTATAAATGCAATAAGATACATTATTAAGTCCGTTATTTGTAGGAAATCGCGTCACGCGTTGCGATCCGCTCCTGAGAGCGGTACATCACCGTTTGTATGACATACGATCAAAATGTTCCCTATATAATAAAATATAAATATATAAGTTTGTATAAATAGTACGAGGGCTGGTAGAAAGATACTTTAACACTAGGCGTGAGTGGCATTTTGCATTTGCATTTTGCAAGTTTATCAATGAGAAATCAATATACAGTAGAAGACATTTTGCCCGGTAACGAACAGTTCGGAATGCCTGATAGTCGAAATATTCGTTTTCTTCAAAATTGTGCCTTTTATAGGAAATAAAAACGCTCGAGGGTTGTTAGAACGTTTTCGGGGTGGTTCGAAATCATTCGAAAATACACGCTATTCTTCGGTAATCGTTGTGTCCATGGTAAACTCCATGTGTCTAGGTTCATGAACAAAGTATGTTCTACGAAATGCATAGCCTCTACGTTTTACGAAGGTAAACTCCACGTGTTTAGGATCATGAACGAAGTATGTTCTACGAAATACTAGTCTCTACATTTTACGAAGGATTCGCACGTTTTTAAGGGGTCTTCTACCTTTTGTGATCAGGAAAACTACAGCCAAACAACAAAGTTGTATTAAAATCGTGTCGATTGTTTTTAACAGTTACCAAGAAACCAATCGACCGATCTTTTCCAAAAATATATATCTTCTAATTTTATCTAATTTATATCTAATATATAGGGGAAGTCCCTAGTGCCGGACACCTAAAGTGATTTATAAATAAATCAGAAAATATTTGACAAATGTTTATTAATTATGACTTATTTGATAAAAAGTTGAAATCAACTAATTACCAAAAACGCAATCTTTGCTAAACAATCATTATATTATCAATCAAATTTGGTAACAAAAAATATGATTTTACAAAGTGGCACTAGTACCGGACATTTTAAATAACCCTCATTGAACACACTGTAGCCATCTCCATACTCTGAAATGTCTGCAATTGTGTTGACGAATTTCATAAAACCAACCAACGTTGTCAAATCGAGCTCCGTACAATAATTTAATTTTTTTGAAATAGTTGTAACCGTTTTTGAGAAATTTCGACAAATTTCAATTTGGCTCACATACATACCCACACAATTTTTCAAATTTGGCGCCAAACGACTTGAAACGTCAAGAAAACAAAAAAATTCAAATTTGGCGCCAAACGACTTAAAACGCCAAGAAAACATAAAATTAGCAAATCGGATTTTCTGGTGAAAATATAACATACTTTTTTCCTCTTTTAATATTTAGTGAACATATGTAAATAGGGTTAATTATTTTAAAATCCCTACAAGTATCTGTTTAGCAGCAGTAGTAAATACAAGTAAATAGTAAAAAGGAAATTAGTTCAATGTTAAAGCAACTTTCATAAAAAAGAAAATTTGCTCATGGACAAAAACTCATTTGTGTGACGAATTAAGGAAAAAGAAATAAAAAGATATATTATATATGGCAAGAAAACAACCGCAGTATATAAAAAGATGCTTTAAAAATAAAATAAAAATGCAAGGTTTTCACATACTGAATCGTTCTCTGTCTAGATTGCTTGTGATTATTCTTAAACAGTAAATGTAATAATTTTAACAAGTAAATTCAATTTTCTTTAATGTCTGTACTGTGTTTGTGAGTATTTATATATCTCTATAATTAATCTAATTTCTATCAATTAAGTTTAATTCATACGAATTAACGCTTACCTGTAATAAAAGGTTAAAACTTGTGCAATCCTTGAATATCCTATGAATATTTAACGAAATCTTGATTTATTGCTATTTTTAAGTAGGCACAATATATATAGGCATTTTAAATTAACAACACATTTAAGCGTATTATTTCATAATTTTTAAGTACAAATGTTTATTTAAATTGCATAACATTAATTACACACGAACGAATGCTCGTTCAAATAATAAAATCATAGTAATTAAAATTAGTTTTATATTTTGTTATTATCATCTGTCAACGTATATTTTTAACATTTTTCTTGAAGGAATAATACTTCAACGATTTATAATACTGATTTTTTAACAATTGTTTAACTAAAACATTAACACTAAATAAACACAACAAGTTAACTTGTGACATTTCTGAAATGATCTGAGCCATGAGACCATCTGTCACTGTAGGTTAGGCTTGTGGTAGTGTAGTAGTTGCAGAAGTTGGCAACAGGATGAGTAGATGGCGACACGTGTACCAATATTAACGGTAATTCATTATAAAAGCGCGGCAATTCAATTTGTGCATTGAATGAAACATATATTCTACAAAGCAGATTATTTATTTAAATAAATGTAACAAATAGAATGACAACATTATATTAGAAATAAAAATTCGAAACAAATATATCTAAATAAATATTAATAATTTTCTTAGAATTTAGTCCAACAAAACACGTAATAACAGTCGAATAATTTTATAATTAGCAGCATTTTATACAAAATCACATAAACCATAAAAATTTGTTATTGGAAAGTGTGATAAAATATCAATTGTGCTGCGTATAATCATTAACAAACAATAAATAAGTCAAGATAAGCGGAAAGATTCTTATACGTCTAGATTACAGAAATATATCAGACTCCATAAAGCGTTCGATTATTAATCTTCGTTCAGTATTATGATGTATAATATGTAATATGTAATAATGGAAAATCTTTAGTTTCACAACTTGATGAGTTATGATATTTTTTTGGCGGACATGCACAGTGATATTAACAAGCGATTTAATACAAGTTGCATAATTTCGTGAAAAACGTATCCTCGGTAAAAATAATAAACACATTCAGAACATTGTTAATAAAATGTGCACCAAAAATCCTTACACGCACATCCGAATCTACAATCAAAACCACAAAATATTTCATTTAATATTAAATAATAGATGCTACAAATACTTAATGATTTTGTATCTACATTCGGAGGCGCGCCTAAAGAAATTCGTCCTAGTTATCTATAATATTAATAATAATAATAAATATGATGATAATAATAGTGTAATTGTTCTCGCTTAATGATGATGAATGCGTATTACTTGTTTAACAATAGTATTTGTTCATTTTGCGTTCGTATTACACATATACGTATAT